TTCCAGGTATTTGATGCTCACGATGAATCGTACCTCAATCCATCTTTTTTCCTTTATATATTTTAATTTTTTGTTCTTTTTCAGGTAGATGCATTTATCAAGCTGATGCGAAAGCAGCTACAATCGGGTGGCAAACGTGGATTTTTCACCAAAAAATCGGTGGTCCCTCAAGGCCGGGAAAGCTATTCCGTGGAAGACATGCTTTGTTTTCAAAAGGTTCACAAATCATCTATGATTTTGTTCCATTAGCTGATTTAATGGGTTTCCAGGAACCAATACCGACATCTCTTCTCAGAATAAACGCAGATCTTGTTAGCCGTGCTGTCAAGCTGTTTCAAGCTATTCTCAAGTACATGGGCATCGATGCCCAAACGCCGAGTCCGTTAAATTCTCAAGACCAATTGGCGATTGTTTTGAAGATCTATAAGCATACCTTGAAACGCGTTGAACTGAGGGATGAGGTTTTTGCCCAGATTTCGAAGCAAACGCGCAACAATCCTGACAGGTTTGTGTCTTTTATACATGTTGCCACCTTACAAAGTCGATTCGTCCTGTAGACCTTTGCTACTAAAGGCTTGGGAGCTGTTATATTTGTGCGCCTCTGCAATGCCGCCTGGGAAAGACTTTGCAGCATACTTATCAGAGTACGTGCATGATGTGGCCAGCTCTCAAAACAGTGATGCAGAAATTCAGGCATTGGCTTTGAAGACTTGGAATGCATTAAAAAGAACAGCCAAAGCAGGGCCACGACGGACAATTCCTGCACAGGAAGAGGTTGAAGCTCTCCTAGGTGGACGGAAGCTGAAGACAATTGCGTTTTTCCTAGACGAAACGTTTGAAGGGATTACGTATGACATGTCCACAACCGTCATGGATGCTGTCGAGGTAATTTTTATGTAGAATGTTCCATTACTCAAAGCTCCTGTTGCAGGAATTGGCGGGAATTATCAAGCTATCTGCGTACAGCTCATTCAGTCTATTTGAATGCAGGCGTGTTCTAGTAGGAACGAAAGCTGTTGATAGTGGGAATGGTACGATCTCTCTAGGTTGGTCTTTGTTTACCTTTCTTATTGGCGATTGCAGATGAGCATCTTGGGCTTGATGAAAATAAATATATTGGAGATATTGTTGCGGAGTTCAAAGCAATCAAGGAACGCAACAAAGGAGAACTACTTCAATGCAAGCTTCTCTTTAAGAAACGCTTGTTTCGGGAATCGGACGAGGCTATTACTGACCCAATGTTTGTACAGCTGTCGTATGTTCAGGTACGGGGGTTTTTTGTTTTTACTTTTTCTGTCTCAACTCTTCCTTTATCAGTCACAACATGATTATCTCCTTGGAAACTATCCTGTTGGTAGAGATGATGCAGCGCAGTTGGCTGCTCTAGAAGTGATTGCTGATATTGGCCCTGCGAACGAAGCTGAACCTATAATGTGTGTAAGAACCTCAGAATAACGTCCGGGATTTAACATTTTTCTTTCAGGGACTGGTCAGCCCTAGTCGATCGCTATCTGCCAAAACAAGTTGCCATCACAAGGGCAAGACATGATTGGGATTCTGACATTTTTGCGCGGTACAAAGCGATGGTGAGTGTTTGCTTTCTAGGTTAAGATTCTTACTTTTTTGTTCTTATCTGAAGGGTCATTTATCGAAAGATGATGCAAGACAACAATTGCTACGTATTTTACGATCCTTGCCATATGGCCAATCCATATTTTTCAACGTCCGGAAGATAGAAGATCCGATTGGTCTTCTTCCCGGAAGAATTATCTTAGGGATAAACAAAAGAGGGGTACGTGCAAGTATATTCATGTTCGCGGTTTTGACATGTGTTTCTTAACAGGTTCATTTTTTCCGGCCAGTACCTAAAGAATATTTACATTCGGCTGAGCTTAGAGACATCATGCAATTTGGAAGTAGCAATACCGCAGTGTTTTTTAAAATGCGTGTGGCGGGAGTTTTGCACATTTTTCAGTTTGAAACTAAACAGGTGTTTTTGTGGCTTTCCGTGTAGTTCTTCTCTAAATTTCTGTCGCAGGGCGAAGAAATATGCGTGGCTCTCCAGACACACATAAACGATGTGATGCTGCGGAGATATTCAAGAACGCGTTCTGTTGCTAACGGCGCCATACAAAGCAACGGGGAATCTGCCGTGCCGAACTTTAAGCCTCCCGGAATCGAGGTTTATGAGAAACATGTGCAGGATATGTCAAGGCTTTTGGATGAATCCCAGAAGAAAGCAGACCAGGCAAGTCGATTTTTTGGTGGACTTGAGAACTAAATCATTGTATTAATATACGCAGCTTGCTGGAGAGTTAAGGGAGAAAGACAAGAGGCAAACATCATTGCTAGAAGAATTGGAGGGCTTCAAGGATAGACTCCGAGCTGAACAACAAACAGTTACTGATATAACACAAGAGAGAGAAAAGCTGCGGAAGGCTGTTGAGGAGAAGGAAACCGCACTACAGGTACGACTGATGTATTTTGACTATCTAACAACATAAATTTTCAGGCCGCTCTTGCGGAAAAATCTGCGGATGATGAGCATGGTCGCGAGGAGGCAGCTCCGACAAAGAAAGGCATTCTAAGAGGTTCTATTGGAAGAAGGGACAGGGACCTGCCATTTGCCGAGAAAGCATCTAGTGCACTGGAAGCACAGGTGAACTGCAAGGTTTCTTTTCTCTGCCTTCGCTTCATACAATAATTTCAGGTCAAGGACTTGAGAAATGAACTGAAGTGGAAAAGCGAGGAGGCCAGGCTGGCGGAAGAGAGGAACAAAAAGCTGATGAATGAGAAGCAGCTACTTGAACAAAAAGTTTCCCGTGTCGAAAAACTGAAAGGCGAAGAAGTAGGTTCTTGGAGAATTTTGCACTTTGACGAGTATCTGATTGATGTCTTGCCAGACTAAGGTCCTCGAGAAAAAGTTCGAAGAAGAGCGGAGCATGCTCAGAGTGCGGATATCGGAGTTGGAGAAAAAGCTGAATGAAAGGACTCAGGAGATAAGTGTTGCAGAAGCAGCGCTCAGCTTGCGGACTTCTGAGCTGGAAGCTATGCAATGTAGCATGAAAGAGCTCGAAGAGTTGAGGGAAATTAAAGAGGTATGTTATTTTGCGACTATGCATTTTCTGACATTCTTCGTGTGTTTCCTAATCAGGATATCGATAGAAAGAATGCCCAGACAGCTGAACTATTAAGAAGACAAGCTGATCAGCTCGCTGAACTAGAATCCCATTACAAGGAAGAACAGATATTGAGAAAGCGATACTTCAATATGATGGAAGGTACTTCTTCTTCTGTTCCTTTTCCTTCAGTGTTCCATACGAATGAACGTATTCCATTGCAGATATGAAAGGAAAAATTCGAGTATACTGTAGATCGCGCCCACTTGTTGAGAAAGAGCTGAACGAGAACCAGAAAGCAGTGATCATATCTGCAGATGAATTCACTGTCGAACACATATGGAAGGATGACAAGACAAAGCAGTTTCAGTTTGATCATGTTTTTGACGAGCATGCATCTCAAGATGCTATCTTCGAAGACACCAAGGTAATGATGTCTCTTTGACGTTATTTTGTTACTAACATGTTCTATCATCCAGTATTTGGTGCAATCGGCAGTCGACGGATACAACGTGTGCATTTTCGCTTATGGTCAAACTGGGTCCGGCAAAACATTTACAATATATGGTCCGGAAAATAATCCTGGGCTCACGCCGAGAGCCACGCGGGAATTATTCAGCATCATAAAGCGGGACAGAAACAAGTTCACAGTATCTCTGAAGGTGTGTAAATCATATGCATTTGTCTTGTTTCTCTAATGATGGTTCCCTTAACAGGTCTACATGCTTGAGCTCTACCAGGACAATCTTTTCGATCTTCTTTTGCTTCGGAATGCCAAGCGGCAAAAGCTTGAAATCAAGAAGGATTCTAAGGTAATTTTTGTCGGCAGTTTTCTGAAGTCCAAGCTTTCTTTATTTGTTTACAGGGTATGGTCGTTGTCGAGAACGTTACGCTAATACCCGTGTCGACAAGAGAAGAGCTTGACAACCTTATTCAAAAGGGGCTGGAGAAACGACATACTTCTGGAACCCAGATGAATGCCGAGAGCTCCAGATCGCACTTGGTCCTGTCAATAATAATTGAAAGCACGAACATGCAAACGCAGAACGTGGTCAAAGGAAAGGTACGGAGTTCTCCTTACGGCAGTAGTTTTATAAGTGGGCTTACGGCGTGGTTTTTGCAGCTGAGCTTCGTGGATTTGGCTGGATCGGAGAGAATAAAAAAGTCTGGATCAACCGGAGAGCAATTGAAGGAGGCCCAGAGCATAAACAAGTCCCTCTCGGCGCTAGGCGACGTGATCAGCGCACTGGCCACGGAAGAGCAGCACATACCGTACCGGAACCACAAGCTGACGATGCTCATGAGCGACTCGCTGGGTGGCAATGCCAAGACGCTCATGTTTGTCAACGTGTCCCCGGCGGAGTCCAATCTGGAGGAGACTCACAACTCGCTATGGTAAGCAAGCGCGATCCAGTGTGTGGATTGATGGATTTGTTCTTTGCTCTTTCCGCAGCTACGCAACGCGCGTGCGGTCAATTATCAATGACCCGACCAAGAACACGAACACGAAGGAGATCGTGAGGCTCAAGAAGATGCTGGGATACTGGAAGGAGCAGGCGGGCAAAAAGGCGGACGAGGACGAGCTGGAAGAGATCAAAGACGAGCGGACTGGCAAGGACAAGATGGAGTCCTCGTAGAGCAGGCAAAGTTTCGGAAGAACACACGGAAAAAGAGAAGAAAAAAAACGAGAAAAGGAGAGGAAAAGCTACTAATTCGGTGGTGATTTTTTTTTGGTCAGTGTAGTGGGCTTTTCGATCATGTAAGTATACAAGTTTTAACAAGAAGACTTTGAGAAGCTTTGTATTGTATCATCTACCATATTGTTTGCAATCAAATATTTGCTATATCTTCGTCCCTGATGACTCTTTTTTCCAGCTCAACTTGCCTATAAAACAAGTATTTGAATGATCATATAAACAAGATATCATGGGACTATCTAGTGATTGATTCTTGTTCTTGACGTAAGTAGACCATAGGAAATGGAGCTTTAGAACTTTTGTGCCGACAGAGGGCGATCGAAGATTGCCCAAGTGATGGCGGTGGTGTTGTCTGAAACAGATGAAACATCAAAGCAAAGAAAGGGACCATTTAGAAAACAAAGAGAAGAGAGAAAAAGAAACAAGAAAAAAAAAAAAGGGGAGAACAATAGAATACGTACGTAGAAACTTGGAAGGAGGAGATTTCCTGCCTTTCCAGATTCAAAGTGATTGATAGGATACGATGCGCGTCCTGTTGTTGTAGCCAAGGAGAAGAAAAAAAGCTTGCAATCTTTAGCAGTGAATGACAAGAACATCAAAATCATGCATGTTACTCTCTCTGATGCAAAGCCTGTCCATGGTTCTCTCACCCACATGAATGTGACAGCATGGAAGCACTACTTGGTACCAGAAGCAAAAAATATGACAAGAAAGAAGCCAGCCCCTTGCAATAAGATTGAGCGAGCGAACGAATGAATGCAAGGAAACAAAAGGTATAAAATCCCATACCTGGCACAAGGAGAGGCGCCCCACATCCCTTCTTACTTCTCTCGCGCTCTCCCTTCCCAAGGCTTTTCCTCTCAGTCGGCAGTCCTGCATGGCCCCTGTGCCTTACTTTCCTTCCATTTTTCTCTTCTCTTTCTTATCTCCGCCTCTGTGTCTCCAAAAACTATTCACCGTAGCATATTTCCCTTTATTCCGGCTTCGATTTTGTTTGCTTCCCTCCCGACCCTTGCTTTCCTTTGTTTTTCTTTCTCCCTCTCTCGTCCTGCGGTTCAGCCGAGAAGAAGGGGCCCCTCTCGCTTTGCAGAGAGGAGGAGGAGGCCCAACAACACTGCTGCCCTGTGCCACTGCTACTGGCCCTGTTTCTTTCGTCCTGTTTAATAATATTGTCGTCCCCAGCCGTCGTGTCGATGCGCAAGCCTCTTTTTTCTCTGGATACGATACGCTCCCACCTCCAATTTCCTGTTCTCTTTCATTTTACCTTTAAAAGTGGGTGGTTTTCGAAGGGTCAAGCTGTTCCCAGCTTTGCTTCTTCCTCTTAGTCATTTAATAACTGCGAGCCTTTGTCAAATGGATCCAAAGTGGTCTTCTCCCCGTCTTGTTCTTCACCATGCTCTCTACACGCTAAGAGGTGACCATTATAAATAATGGCACGAGGGAAAAAACTAAAGCGGTGAACTTATCTCAGAATCAGCAACAAGCGATCTCCCGGTCCCTCCTCGGCTACAAATTGACAAGACAAGCCAAAGCCGCATACCCGGTGATCGAGACGGAAATTCCATTCCAGACAAGGAGCTACTACTATCTGGGGAGCCAACAGGAAACAAAACGCACGGAGTTAATAATAAGCCAAAGAATGTGAGAAGCAGAAGCTTTGGTAGAGCAAATATATGATACATACCTCTTCTCGCAGTCAGCGCCTCAAGACAAACGGCATCCGTTGGGTGAGTGAACGACTGAATCCTCAGTACCCCCACTTAGCATTTGGCAGCTGCTGCTTTGCAAATTGCATTCCTTGCACCATCCTCCTATAAAGACGCCCACCAGAAAGTGAGAGAGAAGCTTTCACGTCGTGGACCCTGTATCAGCCTCACACCCTCCAAGGAGAATGAGCGAGCAGCTTCGTATCCCAGGCTTTTGCTCGACACAACTCGGATCAAGCGTCTTTGCAGCTCAGCTTTTCTCCTTTCTTCCCTGCTGATACTCGACGGGAAAGGCCCACTCGCAGGAGCACCAGGGTCCTTGAAAGCTGAGAGATAAGAAAAAACTTCTGTAGAGCTAGAGCTGTCACTAGAGCCAATATTCCTACCCTGTCTCGTCACTGCAGTGCTCCTTACTATTGACCACCACGGCCCGGCCATGAATTCCCACGCATCAAAGCTGCTGTTGTCACACAATCCAACGGCGCCGCTTATGAGCTGTCCAGTTTACCGGCTTGGAAAAAAATCAGTCCACCCGACCCGATTCCGATCTTTCCCGGGATTCCCCGCTATGCAAAAGCTTTCTAGCTCCTCGTAGCTTGTTTCATATTCCTGCGCCCACTCGCGCTTCGCCAATCTACCTCTTAACCACCTTTTACGAGCTGCTTTCTTTCCAATCTCTTCCTTTCGTCCTCCTCTGCTGCTTATGCTATTGCTGCTTTCGCTCATCTCGCTTGCTTCCACTCCACCTTCGGCCCCGGACAGGAGAGGAGAGCCTTCATCCCTTTCCTGGCTCCAACAATGCGCTCCATCATCGCCTTTCGGATTCTCTCTCCCACGCAATTCCTCATGTAGCGCTCTACATGGCCTGGTGCGCTTAATGAAACAGTTTCGTAGTCTGTCTTGTCACTGTCTCTCCTTCCTGCGGCCGAGCTCGTGAAACTCTGCTCAATTTGCGGTTCGCTTTTGGAAGACAGCCAGGAAGTGGAACCGAGTCGCCTGCCCCCCTGCTTATTATATCAACCATGCTGATCCTCGCAGGCAATCACGGAGTGGTAGCAGCGGAAGAAGCAGCAGCAGCTGAGTCGCCGTCATCCATCCTTTGCTAGCTTTCTACCATGAAGAAGCCGTCGTTGTCGTCGTCGTCGTCGTCGGGCATGCTGGTTAGAAAGCTCTGCTTCATAGTGGTCACTGTAGCCGCCTTGATCCGTTGCTGCGCTGCCGATCCCCCGGAACAAGAGGCTCTCCGCGAGTTTTTGCTTGCTGCCAAAGGCTCCGAACTGCTCAAGTCATGGAGCACGTCAAGCTCGAGCCCCTGTTCTTGGCTAGGTGTCTCGTGCTCCTCCAACGGACATGTGGTGGAGTTGTCGCTGGGAGGCCTCCCGTTGTATGGCAGAATTCCAACAGTGTTTGGTTTCCTGTCCGAGCTGAAAGTGTTGAATCTCTCGTCCACCAACCTCACCGGGAGCATCCCCGAAGAACTTGGGAGCTGTAGCAAGCTCCAGCTGCTCGATCTCAGCGTCAACAGCCTCACCGGAAGAGTCCCGAGCAGCATCGGTCGCTTGAAAGAGTTGCGCTCGCTCAATCTCCAAGACAATCAGTTGCAAGGCTCCATCCCGAAGGAAATTGGCAACTGTACTTCCTTGGAGGAGCTCCAGCTTTTCGACAACCAGCTCAACGGTAGTATCCCTCCGGAGATCGGCCAGCTCGGGAAGTTGCAAGCGTTTCGAGCAGGCGGCAACATGGCATTGTCGGGACCGCTTCCCCCGGAGCTCTCCAATTGCAGGAACTTGACTGTCCTTGGGCTGGCGGTGACGGCACTGTCCGGAAGCATACCAGGCTCGTACGGGGAGCTCAAGAACCTCGAAAGTTTGATCCTTTACGGCGCTGGCATCTCGGGTCGAATTCCTCCGGAACTCGGTGGCTGCACCAAGCTCCAGTCCATCTATCTCTACGAGAACAGGCTGACGGGTCCAATACCACCGGAACTGGGACGTCTCAAGCAGCTCAGGAGCCTCCTCGTGTGGCAAAACGCGATAACAGGTAGCGTCCCTCGCGAGCTCAGCCAGTGCCCGCTGCTCGAAGTCATCGACTTCTCGAGCAACGACCTCTCCGGTGACATCCCACCCGAGATAGGAATGCTGAGGAACCTCCAGCAGTTTTACTTGAGCCAGAACAACATCACCGGCATCATCCCCCCGGAGCTCGGCAACTGTTCCAGCTTGACGTTTCTGGAGCTTGACACCAACATGCTCACAGGCCCCATACCCCCGGAGCTCGGCCAGCTTTCCAACCTCAAGCTCCTCCACCTGTGGCAGAACAAGCTGACCGGCAACATCCCCGCATCACTCGGACGTTGTAGCCTGCTCGAGATGCTCGACCTGTCCATGAACCAGCTCACCGGAACTATTCCTGCCGAGATCTTCAACTTGTCAAAGCTCCAGAGGATGCTCCTCCTTTTCAACAATCTTTCAGGTACGCTCCCTAACAACGCCGGGAACTGCATCAGCTTGCTGCGGCTGCGCTTGAACAACAACATGCTGTCGGGAAGCCTGCCTATCAGTCTGGGCCAGCTCCGAAATCTCAACTTCCTCGATTTGCACGACAACATGTTTTCGGGACCACTTCCCACGGGAATCTCAAACCTCAGCTCGCTGCAAATGCTCGACGTGCATGATAACCAGCTGTCTGGACCGTTCCCTGCCGAGTTTGGCTCGCTTTCGAATCTGGAAATCCTGGATGCCTCGTTCAACAACCTGAGTGGTCCTATTCCTGCGGAGATTGGCAAAATGAACCTCTTAAGTCAGCTCAATCTAAGCATGAACCAGCTTTCAGGGAACATACCTCCGGAGATGGGACGTTGCAAAGAGCTCTTGCTCCTCGACCTCAGCAGTAACCAGTTGTCCGGGAACCTTCCACCAGACCTGGGAATGATAACCAGCCTGACCATCACCCTCGACCTCCACAAGAACAGATTCATAGGGCTCATTCCATCAGCTTTCGCACGTCTCTCTCAGCTGGAGCGTCTGGACATCTCTTCGAACGAGCTGACAGGAAACCTCGACGTCCTCGGCAAGCTCAACAGCCTCAACTTCGTCAACGTCTCGTTCAACCACTTCTCGGGATCCTTGCCGAGTACTCAAGTCTTCCAGACAATGGGCCTCAACTCCTACATGGGAAACCCCGGCCTCTGCTCGTTCTCGTCGTCGGGTAATTCCTGCACGCTGACTTATGCCATGGGATCCTCCAAGAAGTCGTCCATCAAGCCAATCATCGGTCTGCTGTTCGGAGGAGCTGCTTTCATCCTCTTCATGGGGCTTATCCTCCTGTACAAGAAGTGCCACCCTTACGACGATCAGAACTTCCGAGACCACCAGCACGACATCCCCTGGCCATGGAAGATCACCTTCTTCCAGCGTCTCAACTTCACTATGGACGACGTGCTCAAGAACCTGGTTGACACGAACATAATCGGCCAGGGACGGTCCGGAGTCGTGTACAAAGCAGCGATGCCAAGCGGTGAAGTGGTCGCCGTGAAAAAACTCCGCAGGTACGACAGAAGCGAGCACAACCAGAGCGAGTTCACGGCGGAGATCAACACCCTGGGAAAAATCCGCCACCGGAACATCGTCAGGCTCTTGGGCTACTGCACCAACAAGACGATCGAGCTGCTCATGTATGACTACATGCCGAACGGTAGCCTCGCGGACTTCCTGCAAGAAAAGAAGACGGCAAACAACTGGGAGATCAGATACAAGATCGCTCTAGGAGCAGCGCAAGGACTTTCATACCTCCACCACGACTGCGTGCCAGCGATCCTCCACCGGGATATCAAGCCGAACAACATCTTGCTGGATTCCAGATACGAGCCTTACGTCGCCGACTTTGGTCTCGCAAAACTCATCGGCTCTTCCACCTCTGCGGCCGATCCCATGTCCAAAGTTGCCGGATCATATGGCTACATTGCTCCAGGTACCACTTTGTTCTTCCTCCGTCTTTTCGGTCGAGAAAGTTGGCTGATCGATCGTCTTCGTACGTACTTGCAGAGTATAGTTACACGCTCAAGATCTCTGAGAAGAGCGACGTTTACAGCTATGGAGTGGTGCTGCTGGAGCTACTGACCGGCAGAGAAGCTGTCGTTCAGGACATCCACATCGTGAAATGGGTCCAGGGAGCTCTCCGTGGCAGCAATCCCAGCGTGGAAGTCCTGGACCCGAGGCTGCGAGGAATGCCGGACCTCTTCATCGACGAGATGCTCCAGATCCTCGGCGTGGCGCTGATGTGCGTGAGCCAGCTCCCGGCCGATCGACCGTCGATGAAGGACGTGGTGGCATTCCTCCAAGAGGTGAAGCACATCCCGGAGGAGGCATCGAGCATCAAGGTCCCAGCCGCCGCCCCTGCCGCCGCCGCCGGCGACCAGCTCTCGGATCAAATGCCCCTATTTTGCAAGAATCACACCGCCAGCACCTACGAATTCGTGTTCGATGACAACAGCAGCTCGCAATCCGGGGGATGCTGATGGCCGATCGCGAAGGAGCGCTGCGCCGCGCGAGATGATGATCCATCGTGAAGCCAAGAAAATTTTGCTCGAATGGAAGAACCCTAAAGTGTACGGTCGCTTTGTAAAATTAAATTCTTTTACGCCCTTTGTCACTTGGTAGGGTGTCATTCCAGGGTTAGGGAGCTAGGTTTCTTCGAGCGCGCAAGGGCGGTGCGAGTGGATCTTTTTCATCGCTCCTCCTCCTGGATAGATCGATCTCTGGAGTAGCGGCAGCACAGCGCGCAGCTCGGCTCCCGCCATGGCGCCGCGGCCCGACGACGAGTACGATTACCTCTTCAAGGTCGTGCTCATTGGCGACTCGGGCGTCGGGAAATCCAACTTGCTCTCCAGATTCACGCGCAACGAGTTCTGCCTCGAGTCCAAATCCACAATCGGGGTCGAATTCGCGACGCGCACGATCCAGGTAACAAAGAATTCTCTCTTTCCCTCTTTTCTCATCTCAAATTCCTTCTTTCTATGGTGGTGGTGTTCTTCCCGGACGGATGGAACTCTAGGTGGATGGCAAGACGATCAAAGCCCAAATCTGGGACACGGCCGGGCAAGAGCGCTACCGCGCCATCACCAGCGCCTACTACCGGGGCGCGGTGGGGGCGCTGCTCGTCTACGACATCACCAAGCAGGCCACGTACGAGAACGTCGAGCGGTGGCTCAAGGAGCTGCGCGACCACGCCGACTCCAACATCGTGATCATGCTGGTGGGCAACAAGTCGGATCTAAAGCACCTCCGCGGCGTCGCCACCGACGACGCGCAGCGCTTCTCCGAGAAGGAGGGCCTGTCCTTCATCGAGACGTCGGCGCTGGAGGCCACCAACGTGGAGAAGGCGTTCCAGAGCATCCTCACGGAGATCTACCGGATAGTGAGCAAGAAGGCGCTGGCGTCCGAGGATCCCGTGCTCGTCGGGCCTGGAGAGGGCAAGGCGATCATCGTCGGGCCCGAGCAGGACGCGAACACCAAGAAGAAGGCGTGCTGCTCGACGTAGAGTGGCGAGATCCATCGTCGCCCATCGTCAGGTTCTCCAGTTCCACCATTCCATCCATCGCAGGGGATCGGTGGATCGATTGATCGTCGCTGGCGGGAAGAACGAAACGAAGGACTGGATTCTTTTTTTTTTTTTTGAGGTTTTACTGGAAGCGTAGAGTCGATGTAAACAATCTTTAAGTAGTGTGTGGTTCTTTTGCCTTTTAAATGATTTTATAGGCCTTTTAAAATTTTACCTTTAGCATTTCCAGGGTTTAGGGTTCTTGGAACTTTTAGCCTTTAGGGTTCTTGGGAGTGTTTCGGGTTCTTGAGAATGATCCGCTCGTCCGGATTTGCGGCAGCGGCGGCGGGCGATCGGCGGCTGGGCGCGTGTAGATTCTACTACCGGGGCGCATGGCGGACGCGCAACACGATGCTGGAGCGGTTCTACCGCCATTCCTGCAGCAAGGATGCGCAGAGCGCGCTGGTTCTTCTCACGTCCTTGCGGGGCGATGCCGAGAGGCTGGATGCGACGAGCAGGGAGAGGCTGCCTCGGCTGCTCAAGGAGGATCTCCTGTCAATGCTGCACACTCTGCTGGAGAAGGGGCAGATGGAAGTCGCGAGCAAGGTGAATCGAGGATGATCACCGATCCAGTGCTGATTCCGGAGAGAGATTTTGCCCTCCCAGGTGTTCTATCACATCCAGCGCGAGGACTGGTACCGCCCGGAGCGCAAATTCTACGACGTCCTGGTGCGCTCGTTCGCGCGGGGCTCCAATTTCTCGGCGCTGGAGAGGATCCTGGACGAGATGGAGCTCCGGGGATGCAAGCTCAAGCGGCTCATGTCTATCGAGCTCATGGAGGCGTGCGTCGCCGCCGGGCAGCAGCCGCTGGCGTTTAGGATCTTTGCGGCGCTCAAGTCGGATCCCAGCGTCCCCCGCGCCAAGGTCTACTGGAAGCTCATCGACAGCCTCAACCGCGCGGGGGAATTCGAGGCCTCGCTCAAGCTGGAGGAGGAGCTCCACGATTCGGCCGGGAAGAAGAAGCGCCGGGATCACTCGGCCAAGGAGGTCCACGCCTTGGAACCCTGGGCGAGCTAGATTTAAATTCTCGAATCTTCTAGGCATCTTTTCGATCAGTGGTTCGAATCTTGGAGCTAGCGATCCTCGTCCACGGGCAATGTGGTCTTCTCCTGACCACCACGCCCTAGCTACAAATTAATCGTTCTTATTTTGCCACGACAAGGGTTTTTGCGCGGCACTGTTCTTCCCTAGCGCATCGATCGCGCAGCGTAATCGTCATCATCGATCGTGGAATCTCTCAAATCCGTGAGTGCCGCGCTCTTTCCTCTTGTTGATTGAAGTTTCATCTTTTTTTCTTCTTCCGCTCAAGGTTTCGAGGATCGCATTGTCGAGAATGGCCTCGGCGGCTTACAAGTATATCATTGTCGGTGGAGGTGTGTCCGCGGTAAGCGACGAGGCTCTCAAATTTTTCTTTGAGCTTGATTTTTTGAGTGACTGGCTTTTGTGGATGGATCCAGGGGTATGCCGCTAGAGAATTTGTGAATCAGGGTGTCAAATCGGGAGAGCTCGCAATTATCTCCAAGGAAGCGGTATGAGACTAGAACTCTATTGCTGTAAAGAGTTTTAACCCGATCTCTCGAATTCTCGCAGGTTGCTCCATACGAACGCCCTGCGCTGAGCAAGGCGTACCTCTTTCCCGAGAACGCTGCACGGCTTCCAGGTTTCCATGTTTGTGTGGGCAGTGGTGGCGAGCGGCTAGCTCCAGAATGGTATGCTGAGAAAGGTAAGGTCTTTCTAATTTATTTTTTCTTTTCTCATTAGACTTTGATAAGTTTGCGGGATGGATTTGCTTCTAACAATAAATAATTCCAGGGATTGAGCTCATTTTGGACACGGAAGTTGTGAAAGCTGACATTGCAACGAAGACTTTGACAACCTCCGCTGGAAACTCTTTTAAATATGATGTGCTTGTTGCTGCTACGGGATCAACGGTATGCCTTGGGAAACTTGACACGTTCATTGACACCTGTTTTCTTTTCAGTTCATTAAGCTGTCAGACTTTGGTGTTGCTGGAGCCGATTCTAAAGGAATTTACTACTTGCGTGAGATCAGAGAGGCTGATTCCCTGATTGAAGCCATCAAATCCAAGAAAGACGGTCATGCGGTCGTTGTTGGTGGTGGCTACATTGGTTTGGAATTGGCTGCGGTTCTGACCATGAACAAGCTACAAGTTACTATGGTTTATCCGGAACCATGGTGCAGTACGTATACGTGTTCTATCTTTTACCAGTAGTTCTTACGCTTGTTTTTCTTTGACAAGTGCCCCGGCTTTTCACTTCCGACATTGCGAGCTTTTACGAGGGTTACTACCTAAGCAAAGGTGTGAAGATAGTTAAAGGAACGGTTGCTTCTGGTTTCGAGCTCGACGCGGAGGGTCACGTAAGTGGAAAAGGTCATCAAGTTATGTCTTGACGGGCAAATTGCTTGTGCAGGTTACAGCCGTGAAATTGAAGGATGGAAGGGAGTTGGCGGCGGACATTGTGATTGTCGGTGTCGGTGCTAGACCCCTCACTACGCTATTCAAGGGACAGCTTGAGGAAGAGAAAGGAGGCATCAAGGTAAGTAGAATTAATTCTTGTCAGAAAAATGATTTCTTAGACGTATTATTTTTGCAGGTGGACGGATTTTTCAAAACGAGTAACGAGGATGTCTACGCAGTTGGAGATATCGCAACGTTTCCGATGAAAATCTATGGAGAGCAGAGGAGAGTTGAGCACGTCGATCACTCCAGAAAATCAGCTATTCAAGCTGTGCAGGTAAGTCACGGAGTGCTAAAATATTTGTTGCTTAATGCTCCTCGTCTGCAGGCAATCAAGGCCAAGGAAGAAGGTCGTTCCATCCCGGAGTATGACTACCTCCCCTTCTTTTACTCCCGTGCTTTCGATCTGTCGTGGCAATTCTATGGTGACAACGTCGGTGAAACGGTCAGTTTTGGAAGAGACGAAGCTGCTGCTACCAAGAAGTTTGGAGGCTACTGGGTGAAGGATGGCAAAGTCGTGGGTGTTTTCCTGGAGGGAGGATCTGCTGAAGAGAACAAGGCCATCGCCAAAGTTGCAAGACTAAAGCCGAGCATAGACAGCATTGAGGCTCTCACTTCGGAAGGTCTTGCTTTCATTTCCAAGGTTTGATTCACATTTGCAATTGTGGCTATAACAAACAATTAATATTCTTTCTCTTTGAGCTCCTTTTCTGTTGATGTTATTCTTATTCGGCTGTGAACACGATCAACAGTGACAAGACAGCTTTACGCTGTTGAAGTGGCCTGCGTCCTTTATCTTTTTAAACTTGGTAGTGTTTCTTTTGGCTGTGGGCAACACAGATATCGCCGTATCGGAGTTCTATGGCGATTTCTTACAAGTATATCGTTCTTGGAGGCGGTGTTGGTGCGGTGAGTTCTACCACTATAAATGTTCTACTTACATCAGTTTTTCCTACAGGGGTACGCTGCAAGAGAGTTTTCTCGTGAAGGAGCCAGGAGCGGGGAAGTGGCCATTCTTTCGAAGGAGGCTGTAAGTTTTCCAGATCTCACATTTTGGTAGTCTGAACCGTTTTATCAACAACCAGGTTGCTCCATACGAGCGTCCAGCACTGAGCAAAGGCTACTTGTTCCCCCGAGATGCTGCGAGACTGCCTGATTTTCATGTCTGTGTGGGAAGCGGTGGTGAGCAGCAAGATTTCAAGTGGTATGCGCAAAGAGGTACGGAAAAACTCCGCCTTCGTCTTTGATGGCTTTTGCTGAGTATGTGGCTTTGTTTCTGCAGGAATTGATCTGATCCTAAACACAGAAGTTGTGAAAGCGGATCTTGCTGCGAAAGCTTTGACGACGTCAGAAGGCCATGTCTACAACTATGACATTTTAGTCGTCGCTACAGGATCAACAGTAAGAAAAACTGGTCGTTAGTGTTCATGATCGTGTTTGTCCTCTCAGGTTATCAAGCTACCACACTCTGACGCAGCTGGCATTCACTATCTGCGAGGGATTGATGAGGCCGAGGCTCTGGTGGAAGCTATGAGCAAGGCCAAGGAATCGTCCAGGAACGCTATTGTTATCGGGGGAGGCTACATGGGAATGGAGCTTTCCGCGGCGCTGATAACGAACGAATTTAAGGTGACAATGGTTTATCCAAAACCTTTCTGTAGTAAGTATCTGGAATTCGTCTCGTTTCTTGAATAATTTCTTCGTCTTGCCAGTGCCAAAGCTTTTCACTGCGGACATTGCTAGCTTTTACGAAGAATTCTATCAAGCAAAAGGTGCCACGATTGTGAAAGGAGGACGAGCGTCTGGATTTGAGTTGGACTCGCAGGGTCACGTAAGTTTTTGTTTTGTTTGTTTTTCTAATTATTTTAAAGACATCAAGTTCTTCGCTTTTACGATGCCCCAGGTCAAGGCCGTGGTATTGAGCGATGGAAGGAAACTGGACGCCGACATTGTGATTGTTGGCATCGGAGCCAAGCCACTCACGGGACTTTTAAGCGGACAAGTCGACGAAGAGCAAGGCGGCATAAAAGTACGTAGTTCTTACAAAAGTTTCCATGATTCACAAGCAAGAACTCAGGTGGACGGATTCTTTGAGACAAGCGTCGAGAACGTGTACGCGGTGGGAGATATTGCAACCTTCCCGCTAAAGCTCTACGGTGATATGAGAAGAGTGGAGCACGTAGATCACGCGAGAAAATCAGCCATTCAAGCCGTCCAGGTATTCGAAGTTCCTGACAAAAAAAGAGTAGTGATTTCATGCAAAGTTATGGTGGTGTTCCAGGCTATCAGAGCGAAGGAAGAGGGCCGCTCCATCGCACCATACGACTACGTTCCATTCTTCTACTCACGCGTCTTCGATCTCTCGTGGCAGTTCTATGGCGACAATGTTGGCGACAATGTTGGCGACGCCGTGATCTTCGTAGCAAAGGCGAGAAAATTTGGTTGCTACTGGGCGAGAGACGATCTAATCATGGGTGTCTTCCTCGAGGGAGGATCCCCGGCAGAGAACCAAGACCTCGCAAAGGCAGCGAGAGAACAACCGAGCGTGGCAGAGTTTCTAGCTGGGTGGAATCGAGCCACAGATTGAATAGAGCATATACTTTCTAACGGACTAGAGCATAATGGAAATTAGGGTTCTTGCGCGAGAGGTTTTTAGGGTATATGCGTCTCCGCGATGGCGACGACGCAATGCCGCGGCAAGGCGGCCTCCATCGCCAAGGAGGCGGCGGCGGCTGCGCAAGCCGGGATGGCCACGGCCAGGGAGAAGCTGCCTCGGCCGATCGCACGCACGGAGCTCAACGGTGTGCTGGCCACGGATTGCGTGATGCAGTTTGGGGAGTACAAGGGGCGGAGCCTCGGATCGCTGCCGAGCGGCTACCTTGGCTACCTTGCCTCCAATCTCAGGTACCGCGATGGCGCCAAGCAAGAATGCGCGCAGCTAGCCGAGGGCGTGCTCCAGCTCCGTCGCGATTACCGCGCGTCCCAGGTCCATCTCAAGTACCGCATCATCCACGCCGTGGACAGGAGCTTGAAGAGATCCAGCGCGGGCAATGCCCTGGCAGAGATTGATCGGCAGAACGTGAGCGATCCAGCGCTGGTCTATGGATCGCTCCTCCGCCGGTGCTGCCGCCACAAATCCCTGGAAGAAGGTAGGAGAGTCCACAAGCACATTGCCGAGAATAATCTCATGGTGAACAGGTACCTGGGCAACTTGGTGGTACACATGTATGCCCAGTGTGGCAAGTTCCTGGATGCCAAGGCGGTGTTCGACTCCATCGCCAGCAAGAACGACAGGACTTACGCGATCATGATCGCGGCGTGCGTGAGGGAGGGCCGCCCCTTGCAAGCGCTGGAGCTCTGGGGGGAGATGGAGGAGCGAGGCATCGTCGCGGACAAGTTTATAGTGACGAGCTTGGTGGCGGCTTGCACCAAGCTCCAGGCGCTCGAGGAGGGGCGGCGGCTCCACGAGCACCTGATCATCACGGGCTTCCGGACGGACATCCCGCTCGAGACGGCCTTGCTCCAGATGTATGCTAAGTGTGGCAGCCTCGACGATGCGAAGAGGGTGTTTGAGGGGATGGAGATCAAGGACTTATTCGCGTGGTCGTCGATCATCGCGGCGTATGCTCGCGCCGGGCGGGGAGAGATGGCGGTGGTGCTGTACAGGAGGATGATCGCCGAGGGGGTGGAACCCAACGTGGTGACTTTCGCTTGCGCTCTTGGTGGCTGTGCTAGTGTTGCGGGCCTGGCTGATGGACGAGCGATCCACCAGAGGATTCTAGCGTCCAAGGTTCCGCAGGACGATGTTCTACAGGACTCTCTGCTCAACATGTATCTCAAGTGTGACGAGATGGTGGAGGCCAGGAAGGTGTTCGAGGGGATGAAAGCCAGGAACGTCAGGTCCTACACGGCGATGATATCGGCCTACGTCCAGGCTGGGGAGCACGCGGAAGCTCTGGAGCTCTTCTCCAGGATGAGCAAGGTGGAGGCTATCGAACCGAACGCTTATACGTTCGCCACCATCCTGGGTGCTGTTGAAGGGCTGGGGAACTTGGAGAAGGGGAGGAAGGTCCACAGGCACCTGGCTTCGCGGGGATTCGACACGAACGTTGTCGTCCAGAACGCGCTGGTGACAATGTATGGGAAGTGTGGGAGCCCGGTGGAAGCTCGGAAGGTCTTCGACTCCATGACGGCTAGGAACGTGATCTCCTGGACTTCGATGATTGCGGCCTACGCTCAGCATGGGAATCCACAGGAGGCTCTCAACCTTTTCAAGAGGATGGACGTGGAGCCGAGTGGTGTGAGCTTCTCCAGTGCTCTCAATGCCTGCGCACTGCTGGGAGCTTTGGACGAAGGCCGAGAGATTCATCACCGAGTTGTGGAAGCCAATCTCGCGTCCCCGCAGATGGAGACTTCCTTGCTCAGCATGTACGCGAGGTGTGGAAGCCTGGACGACGCGAGGCGCGTGTTTAACAGGATGAAGACGAGAGACGCCTTCTCTTGTAATGCGATGATCGCCGCCTTCACACAGCACGGTCGTAAGAAACAGGCACTCAGGATTTACAGGAAGATGGAGCAGGAAGGTATTCCAGCCGACGGAATCACGTTCGTGAGCGTCCTGGTTGCTTGCAGCCATACTTCACTCGTGGCTGATTGTCGAGATTTCCTCCAGTCTTTGGTGATGGACCACGGGGTGGTACCATTGGTGGAGCACTACCTTTGCATGGTGGACGTTCTGGGCCGCTCGGGAAGACTGGGAGATGCCGAAGAGCTGGTGGAAACTATGCCATATCAAGCAGACGCAGTGGCCTGGATGACTTTACTGTCGGGTTGCAAGCGCCACGGTGACTTGGATCGTGGCGAGAGAGCCGCCAGGAAAGTTTTCGAGCTAGCACCGGCAGAGACTCTCCCTTACGTCTTCCTCTCCAACATGTACGCCGCTGCCAAGCGATTTGACGACGCTCGAAGAGTCCGGAAGGAGATGGAGGAGCGCGGAGTGACGAGGCCAGTGGCAGTAAGCTACATCGAGATTGACAACGAGCTACACATGTTCACGAGTGGTGGTAGAGACGAGCAGCAGGAGGGTCACGACGGCCGGACGATGGAGAGGGTCCGGTCCCTGCTGGTGGAACTTTTAGAGCCCATGAAGCAAGCTGGATACGTCCCCGACACGAGGGAAGTTTACTTGGAGCAGCAGGGTGTCACAAGCGAGGAGGAGAAACAACGTAGCCTGTGTTTCCACAGCGAAAGGCTTGCCATCGCCTACGGATTGATCGCTGCCAAAGATCCAGACGATTCTCGTCCGCTGAGAGTCGTCAACAGCCACCGGGTGTGCTCCGGCTGCCACTCTGCGATCAAGCTCCTCTCAGATATCACTGAGAAGAGGATTTTTGTGAGAGATGGGAGCCGGTTCCACCACTTTGAGAAGGGAGCCTGCTCGTGTGGGGATCACTGGTGAAGTTACGTTTCTTTATGTTTCACGTGGTGGGCACAGAGTTGGCGGCGACAAAGTCAGAACAAGAAAATCGTGCCGCATAAAGGTAGGTCGCAAAGTCAAGTTCCTATGTGGCGCACCTTGACTGACTGATGGATTGCAGGGCTCTCCGTCAAGAGAAGTGAAGTAGTAACAAGTTGCAGATGATGGAACTCATGATCTGGCTGATCCTGTTGAGCACGCTTGGATCCTCTACAGCGTCACTCAACGCACACAAAGCTGGGGTCTTGGTTGCATTGAAAAGGAGCCTCCTGGGACTGGGAAACACCTCAGACTGGACTGTGGAAAACTCCGATCGAGCATGCACCGACTGGAAGGGAGTGATTTGCAACAGTGACGATTCAGAGGTGGTGGAGCTTCATCTGGCAGGAAATGGATTCACAGGTGAGATCTCGTCGCCGGCACTCGGGCAGCTGGCGAGTTTGCGAGTCTTGGACGTGAGCAAAAACCGGCTGGTCGGATCTCTTCCTGCGGAGCTCGGGCTGCTGCAAAGCTTGCAAGCTTTGGACGTCTCGGGTAACAGACTGACTGGGAGCTTGCCTCGGGATCTCGGCAATTGCAGCGCTCTTCGTTTTCTCAACGCCCAGCAAAACCAGCTTCAAGGTCCGATACCGCCCCAGCTGGGAGCGCTCCAGAGGTTGGAGATACTCGTCCTGGACAACAACCGCTTGTCAGGTTCTCTTCCTCCGTCCCTTGCGAACTGCTCGAAGCTCCAGGAGATTTGGCTGACGAGCAATGGTGTTGAAGGGGAGATTCCGCAGGAAGTCGGGGCTATGCAGGAGCTGCGAGTATTCTTCGTGGAGAGAAACCGGCTGGAAGGGCTCATTCCACCAGTTTTTGCAAACTGCTCGTCTCTCGAGCTCTTGGCACTCGGGGAGAATTCTCTGGGCGGGAGGATACCAGATGAGCTTGGACGGCTCGAAAACTTGGTGGCGCTCTCGCTGTATAGCTTGCAGCGGCTGGAGGGGCCAATTCCTCCTGAGATCGGCAACAACAGCAAGCTCGAGTGGTTTGATATCAACGGAAACTCGCTCATGCATGGCTCGATTCCAGTGTCGCTGCTTCAGCTCCCGCGCTTGGCCACCTTGCAACTCTTTCGTTTCAACAACACCTCAGACCGTCCGGTCCCGGAACAGCTCTGGAACATGACTCAGCTCGAGTTTCTGGGAATGGGGACGACAAACAGCCGAGGGATCCTGTCACCGATCGTCGGAAACTTGACAAGGCTTCGGTCGCTGGAACTTAACGGGAACCGCTTTGAAGGAAGCGTTCCGGACGAGCTGTCCAAGTGTCCCAGGATGGAGACGCTGATCCTCTCCAACAACAGACTCCTGGGAGGCGTTCCTCGATCGCTTGGCACGCTTGAGCGTCTCAGACTTTTAATGCTCGATGGAAACCAGCTCTCCGGAGCAATACCAGAGGAGCTCGGGAACTGCACCAACCTGGAAGAGCTGGTCCTCGAGAGGAACTTCTTACGTGGAGCAATACCAGAGTCCATCGCCAGGATGGCAAAGCTTCGGAGTTTGCTCCTCTACGGAAACCAGCTCTCCGGAGTGATTCCAGCTCCAGCTTCGCCAGAGATAATCGACATGAGGCTGCACGGCAACAGTTTTTCAGGCTCCATCCCTCCCTCCGTTGGCAACCTTTCCAAACTTTCCATACTCTATCTCTCCAACAACAAGCTGGACGGCTCCATCCCGGCCACTCTCGGACAGCTTCGACGATTGACACAGGTGGATTTCTCCGAGAACCAGCTCACGGGTGGTATTCCTGGCAGCCTCGCAAGCTGTGACTCCTTGCAGTTACTGGATCTATCCTCCAACCTCCTGAGTGGAGAGATTCCGGCGTCCATCGGTGAATGGACCGGCTTCCAGACCGCGGTCAAGAACCAGGCTCTCAACATATCGTCCATGACACCGGCGGGAGTGTTTCCGGAGAACTCCACCGATGCATACCGAAGAACTGTGTCCGAGGATATGGCTGCCGCCTTGGATGGACACACGTACCAGCAATACGCAAGGGAGTTAGAGGTGCCAGGAGTGCTCGACTTGTCGGCGAACCAGCTCACTGGTGAGATTCCCGCAAGCTTGGGAAAGCTGGCTGGAGTCCGGGAGCTCAACTTGTCGCACAACCGGCTGTCTGGAGACATTCCATGGACTCTGGGAGAGATGACGTCCATGGCCGTGCTGGATCTCTCTTTCAACCGGCTCAACGGGACGATACCAGGGGCACTGGCGAGGCTTCACTTGCTCAAGGATCTGAGGGTCGTGTTTAATGACTTGGAAGGCAAGATTCCAGAGACTCTGGAGTTTGGCGCATCGAGCTACGAGGGAAATCCAGGACTGTGCGGGGAGCCTCTCTCCCGGCCGTGCGAAGGAGATGGCCTCGTGGACGTGGGCGATGGTGCAACTTGGTGGAAGGAGAACGTCTCCAATGTGGCCTTTGTAGTGGGATTTCTTGGTGGGTTCTTCACGATGTTGTGGAGCGCCATCTTTTTATTTGTTTGCCAAAGTACTACAACCTAGATTTGTATGATATTGCTTATTTGGTTTCTACTAGCTTTTAGGGTTGAAACAAATATTGGCGGGGATTCTTAAGGATGTTGTTGCAATCGCCTCTTAGGAAGCATGCAAGGCAAATCACTAGGCAAGTATCCTGCTTAAACCGGCTAAGAGCTCTTCGTTCCTAGATTACTACCTCAACTTTTGCAGTGTAAAAGTCCAGGCTCAATTCACTCTGATGGAACCGATAGACCTGGAGCACTTCATGCAGACTGAATATGAGGTGCTTCGAGGCTCTGTTTTTGAGGAGCTTTCCGTTGCTTACGTACTACTTGGAGCTATGCTGCCTAACAGTTCCTTTTTTACATTTACTAATTCTTCTTAGGTTGATATAATACATAAGATTAACGGTAGGCAAAATAACGACTATTAAGAGGAAGGAAATATTCTTTAGGATCTTTGCGAAGAAAAATGTTTGGGTCCAAAATGGCATGGCTTACTGTTATTGACTCAACATTTCCTTTTAATTTTCACTGGATATGACCTATTTTAGAAACTGCAAATCTGAAGATCGGGGAAATCTTGAGGATTGCATGCGATGGTTGCCAGCCTTTGGAACCGAGACCAAGGTTGTTGCGATACTACAAAGGAGATTTGAAAATTGTTCTACTGGAGCAATTTTAAAAAAAAATGGTGGCAGAAATCTTTGTAAGGTTGGAGGGTATCTTTAAATATAAGAGTTATCTAGCAAGTAGTTTTAGAAAGGTGTGGAAGATAAGGTTTGTGATAGATGAAGATGGATGGGTAATAGGATGACTATACAATATATAATGGACAGAGTAGTCATGAAAGGATTTTGTTTAGCTTGTTTTTTTACTTTGACTTCAAATATTAGGTCATGGAGAAAAGGTGGGATAATTTTGTATATACATACCTTATATACATGTATCCCTTAGCTCTGAATATGGCATGTTCAATATCTATGCCGGTACCAGTAAGCTGCACGAGTTTGTACTCTGCTTCCTCCTGGTGGAATCGAACTATGACCAGTTCGGCTTCCAGAGCCACCACAACAAGTCCCGTATGGTAACAAAACAAGCTGTGAAAGGTTCGTTGCATATGCTTTTGTAGTTGCTCATACTTAAGGAACGAACAATGCAGGTATTGCTAGTGAAAAGCGTTGCTGCAGTAAAATGTTCCCGTTCCGTGTCAGAGGAGGTGAAGATTCCCAAGGGTGTCAAGATTGTCAATGACATCGAGCGAAACGGTGAAGTGTGCGAAACTAACTTTTTTTATCCAGGGAAGGGAGTGTGAACAAGAAGCGGAAGTTTGCCTTCTGTTTAAAGTGATCTATCTGTCTCTTCAATACACTTTCTGCTGCAGTGAAGCAAGCTCCTTAACCTTAACACTCCATGGTATATCCTTTGGAGCGATACATGGAAGATTAGCAGCATCAAGCTGAACATGCCACATTTGTCATTTGTTGGGTCATATTTGACATCAGTCTAGAAAAAAAACTGCATAAATTTCTGTTGCAGTCTAAATGTCCAACATTCAAGTCTCATCCAGCTCATGTAACAACTTGATTTCTTCAGCAAACCAAAATCATTTGTATTCTTAGTCTCATTTCCAGGTTCCTCAGTGTATATCTCTTAATCTTTGATTATTTTGCTTTTATTTATTAATTACTAGTTTTTTCTGATATTTTATTTTCGTTAGCTTAGATCACTAAGATTGTTGTGGGCGTCCTAATTAAATACTAGTAAAATATCCCACTGATATCATTGTAATCATAGTCTGCTGGGTTGCTCTTGTTCATATCTCTCTCGGGGAGCATTAACTTTCTTTATGAGGAAGCAATGTCAGCGTGTGTGAAGATTTGCTTGAGTAATCGCGGGCTTAGATTCTAGAGGTAGGGCATCATGGATATCACTTTATAGGTATTTTCATTTCATTTAAGAGAGGAAAATATATTTTTAAACAAGCACTAATTTGTATTATGTCCTAAGGTACTGTACCCAGGGACATGAGCGGGTTGGAGTAAATGGGAGGTACGCATGAATCAGTGTATGCGCACATCAACGAGCTGAGGAACATGTTGGACGAGGGCAAGTCTTCGTTCTTCTGCATTTCTCAAACTAGTGAAGCACAGGCATCCATTACAGCATGCCTTGTCCAGGCATCGTGCACGGGGAAGTCGCCAGCTGGGAGTTTACGTCTGCTACTGCAGCCTTGCGAGCGTACATTCTTCGGCTTATCCTCCTCGGACCCCGGAGCTCGCAGACAAGCTTGCAAGCTACAGCACCGAGGATTCCATGGTGCTCTATCTCGAGCAAGTCCTGGGGGAGGAGCTGGATGGGAAGTCTCCGCTTAGGGCTCTGCTCCAGTCCTCATAACTTGGTTCGAACACGTGGAACAAATCAAACGTGACAAATAACGTCATATGTATTTTATACGGCTATGAGAGGCATGATGGGATTGGTAACGTAAGGCGTGCGCCGGGTCCTCCGGCACTGCGACATGGACTCGGAGTTTAGGGGCTGCATTCTTCCGGCAGTTCCCTCTGGTGAGGTACTCAAGAATGTCATGCATTGCCTTCAAAGTCTGGATCGAAGTACCGATCAGCGAGCTGCGGGTCTTGCATCACGGGTCATTCAAGGGCTATATTTTGAGAGTGTGTCATTTATGAAGGAACGAGCTTGAGCTGCAGCATGCCAACTGACATGCGGATGTTCTGCAGGAACTGGTGTGATCCCCAGCATTGAAGGCCCAGCTTTCTCCGTCAAGATTACTGTCTCGAAAGCTCCAATCCGAGCAGGAAAGCTGGCATGGTGAAGCCGAGCAGAATGGTAGTCCTTGTTCTTGTCATCCAGGGCCTGTCGAAGAATGGCTACAAGCCGTCTCAGCTGACAAGCTTAAATGCGAGTTCGGTGTTTTGGACGTAGATATCGGGATCGTCACGCTGCTGGTCTTTCTACAGGAGCCAAAGCTGGTTAGTCCCTCAAACTGGGTGTTATGGACCGAAGGTAAAGGTGAAGACGGCCATATCCATTTGACGTGCTTCGGGCTGGGAGACAACTTTATGTTGCTAGTTGCTCCAGAAGATACTGGTGGCGGTGCCAGATCCACTAGTTGGCGCGGACGATGATGAGCTTAAGAACCTGCTGTCGGACAGATTTGAGGTTGCAGAGTGCTAGTAGAGAAACGGTATGCCCGTCCATTTGAATAAGTTTTAGGGGCTTTCGTGCTCACATTACCAAAAGTAAGGTTACTTTGTGGCTTTGACTGACTGGTGTATTGCAGAGCCCTCCCGGAAGAATGTGTTATGAGAAAACCGTGGAAAGCCAAACTATCGTTCAAATTCAAGCGTGTCAATTCTAGAAAGCAAGTTGCACATAATGTTCAAACCAAAAAGTCTGACACGCTTGAATTTTCTATTCTTTGGTTGGTTGATATGAAGGAAGAATGGACAGTGGCCGGCTGACGAGTTTGCGAGTTTTGGACGTGAGCTAGTGGCTATATTTTCCTCAAAACGAGATCCAAGGTAATACAAGTCGTAGATCTCCATGCGTAGCCTTGGAGTTTATTTCAATTCTCACAGTTGAACCAAACTTTTGCTAGAATCACTGTTCCACCGTAGAATATATGGAACTTCCAGCTGTATAAAGAAGCAATTTCCCAATTGGCAGCGTAAGAGGTTTTGCGTTCATGGAAATCCTCCCAGTTGTGCTCTTTGTAGCTTTTATTCTCTTCTTAGTTCTATCATGGAGCTACAGATCTTTCAAAAACCTCCCCCCAGGCCCATGGGGACTGCCCCTGATCGGCCACCTTCATTTACTGGCGGGAAAGCCCCCACATAGGAGTTTACAATCTATCTCCAGAAAGTATGGCCCCATTGTGTTCTTGAAGATGGGAATGACGCCCACTGTGGTTATCTCTAGCCAGAAGATAATCAAGGAAGTATTTACCACACACGACATAAAGTTTGGTTCCAGGCCATACATGGTTTTAGGCGACCACTTCAGCTATAACTATTCGGGACTTGGAACTTCTCCATATGGGAAGTACTGGAAAGACACTCGCAAGCTGTGTTCCATGGAGCTCTTCACAGCCAAGTCCATCGATTCATTTGCATGGATGAGAAAGGAGGAGCTCTCCCATGCCTTGGGAGAGATCTTAAAGTCTTTCAGCAACAGCAAGCCCGTGGAAATAAGATCGCTGTTCTCCATTTTTGCTTTCAACAATATGTCCAGGATTTTGATGAGCAAGAGGTACTTTGGTGAAGACGAAGTCGACTCCGACGCTTTAGAATTCAAAGAGATTCTGCTCTCCATTGTCGACCTGGTGATCAATCCCTCGTGCATTAGCACCCTCGTACCGTGGTATTTAAGATGGCTGGACTGGCAGATCCCTCGGTACAAGCAAATCCATGCGAAACAAGAGAAGTTCTTGCGAAAGATCATTGACGAGCACAAGGAAACGACACGGGAATGCAAGGACTTCCTTGATATCATGCTTGAGTTCTACGGAAATAATGCCCAGGGGGAAACACACGTTAAAGCAAATCTGTTGGTAAGACTTCTTCTTATGTACTTTGTGATTGCTATAACTTTCATTCCAGGAGATGCTTATGGCTGGGACTGACGCTACTGCTACCACAAGCGAATGGATCATGGCCTTGGTGATGCATAATCCTCGGGTTTTGATCAAGCTCCGGGAGGAGCTTGACCGAGTCGTAGGCAGTGACCAGATGGTCCAAGAATCCGACATCCCAAAGCTCGACTATCTCCAGCTTGTTCTCAAGGAGACACTTAGAATGTATCCTCCAGGAGTGCTCCTTTTCCCACGCATGGCCACCCAGGAAGCCACAATTGCCGGTTATACCGTTCCAAAGGGAACCACTCTCCTGGTGAATGTTTGGGCTGTGCATATGGATTCGGCAGTGTGGGAGAATCCCACCCAGTTTTACCCAGAGCGCTTCTTGGGGAGCTCCATCGATTTCAAAGGCCAAAACTTTGAGCTCCTCCCGTTTGGATCCGGTCGTAGAATGTGCCCTGGAATGCCCTTGGGATTGCGAACAGTGGAGCTGCTGGTGGCCAATCTCATTCACGGCTTTGATTGGAGCTTTGTGCCAGGGACAATACCATCCATAGAGGAGGTTTACAATGGCTCTTGCTACCTCAAGACTCCGCTGCAAGCCATGGCCACTCCAAGGCTGCCGATGGAAGTGTATGGCAACTAGGTCAAGTAAAACAATAAAGGGAAAGTTTTTTTATATTAGGTTTATAACTAAAAATCAATAGGTTAAATTGGTGCATCAATTATTACCACATTAACCACAACATCCACAACAAAATTTTCATTTCTCTTTCTCGAGATTTTCAATGTGAATTTATATTTTTCTTAAACATCTTAAAAGTTTATGAGTTTTTAATGGCAACATACTATCCATTTTCAAATGCTCAATATCAATAGGATAAAAATACCCACATGTAACATATATTAGTGTGCATGCTCATTTTTTTATAACATTGCACTAATTGTGTGATTACAAGGCAATCTAAAGCATAAGCAAGACTATGTTAGTATATTCACCACATCAGTATACTTGTGCATTTATATTTTGAATATAGTAGGATTTAAAGGCTTACATTGTTCATTAATTTTGGTTATAATATTATATGTTAATTATTTTGCATCAAATGTTTTCAAACATCACAAAGATAAGCATATTTCAACTTTAAATTAATTACATATTCAAAGACTCTAAAATATTACTTGTTAAATATCTAAATCATTGTCCTTTAAAAAAATGCAATTGTTTTAATTTGGCTCTAAAACATTTAACACTCAAAAAGTAAAATTTGGATTTTTATTATGAATTTTTGCCATAATTGCATTAAATTTCAAAGGTGTAAATATGTAAAATGTTTTCCAAACAAGTGAATAAATTTGAAATTTTTAAACATTTTGTGCAAATTCTTAATAAAATGCCTCATGAAAAGTCCATTATATACATTATTAAACATTGATTGAACACCTTTTAATATGTTTTTTACCATTTAAAGAGGAAATTGTAAGGTGTATTATTATTTTGATATAAGTTTTAATCAACATTTCAAATGTAAAATACTAAATCCAATAATAATAATAATAATAATAATAATTATTATTATTATTATTATTATTATTATTATTATGCGCTAGTGACAATGTATGGGAAGTGTGAGAGCCCAGTGGAAGCTCAAAAGGTCTTCAACTCCATGACGGCTAGGAACCTGATCTCCTGGACTTCAATGATCAAGGCTTACGCTCAGCATGGGAATCCACAGGAGACTCTCAACCTTTTAAAGAGGATGGACGTGGAGCTGAGTGGTGTGAGCTTCTCTAGTGCTCTCAATGCCTTGGCACTGCTGGGAGCTTTGGACGAAGGCCGAGAGATTCATCACCGAGTTGTGGAAGCCAATCTCGTATCCCCGCAGATGGAGACTTCCTTGCTCAGCATGTACGCGAGGTGTGGAAGCCTGGACGACGCGAGGCGCGTGTTTAACAGGATGAAGACGAGAGACGCCTTCTCTTGCAATGCGATGATCGCCGCCTTCACACAGCACGGTCGTAAGAAACAGGCACACTCAGGATTTACAGGAAGATGGAGCAGGAAGGTATTCCAGCCGACGGAATCACGTTCGTCCTGGTTGCTTGCAGCCATACTTCACTCGTGGCTGATTGTCGAGATTTCCTCCAGTCTTTGGTGATGGACCACGGGGTGGTACCATTGGTGGAGCACTACCTTTGCATGGTGGACGTTCTGGGCCGCTCGGGAAGACTGGGAGATGCTGAAGAGCTGGTGGAAACTATGCCATATCAAGCAGACTCAGTGGCCTGGATGACTTTACTGTTGGGTTGCAAGCGCCACGGTGACTTGGATCGTGGCGAGAGAGCCGCCAGGAAAGTTTTCGAGCTAGCACCGGCAGAGACTCTCCCTTACGTCTTCCTCTCCAACATGTACGCCGCTGCCAAGTGATTTGACGACGCTCGAAGAGTCCGGAAGGAGATGGAGGAGCGCGGAGTGACGAGGCCAGTGGCAGTAAGCTACATCGAGATTGACAACTGGCTACACATGTTTACGAGTGGTGATAGAGACGAGCAGCAGGAGGGTCACGACGGCCGGACGATGGAGAGGTCCGGTCCCTGCTGCTGGAACTTTTAGAGCCCATGAAGCAAGCTGGATACGTCCCCGACACGAGGGAGTTTACTTGGAGCAGCAGGGTGGCACAAGCGAGGAGGAGAAACAACGTAGCCTGTGCTTCCACAGCGAAAGGCTTGCCATCGCCTACGGACTGAGATCCAGTCGATTCTCGTCCGCTGAGAGTCGTCAACAGCCACCGGGTGGGCTCCGACTGCCACTCTGCGATCAAGCTCACTGAGAAGAGGATTTTTGTGAGAGATGGGAGCCGGTTCCACCACTTTGAGAAGGGAGCCTGCTCGTGTGGGGATCACTGGTGAAGTTACGTTTCTTTATGTTTCACGTGGTGGGCACAGAGTTGGCGGAGACAAAGTCAGAACAAGAAAATCGTGCCGCATAAAGGTACGTCGCAAAGTCAAGTTCCTATGTGGCGCACCTTGACTGACTGATGGATTGCAGGGGTCTCCATCAAGAGAAGTGAAGTAGTAACAAGTTGCAGATGATGGAACTCGCGATCTGGCTGATCCTGTTGAGCACGCTTGGATCCTCTACAGCGTCACTCAACGCACACAAAGCTGGGGTCTTGGTTGCATTGAAAAGGAGCCTCCTGGGACTGGGAAACACCTCAGACTGGACTGTGGAAAACTCCGATCGAGCATGCACCGACTGGAAGGGAGTGATTTGCAACAGTGACGATTCAGAGGTGGTGGAGCTTCATCTGGCAGGAAATAGATTCACAGGTGAGATCTCGTCGCCGGCACTCGGGCAGCTGGCGAGTTTGCGAGTCTTGGACGTGAGCAAAAACCGTCTGGTCGGATCTCTTCCTGCGGAGCTCGGGCTGCTGCAAAGCTTGCAAGCTTTGGACGTCTCAGGTAACAGACTGACTGGGAGCTTGCCTCGGGATCTCGGCAATTGCAGCGCTCTTCGTTTTCTCAACGCCAGCAAAACCAGCTTCAAGGTCCGGTACCGCCCCAGCTGGGAGCGCTCCGGAGGTTGGAGATACTCGTCCTGGACAACAACCGCTTGTCAGGTTCTCTTCCTCCGTCCCTTGCGAACTGCTCGAAGCTCCAGGAGATTTGGCTGACGAGCAATGGTGTTGAAGGGGAGATTCCGCAGGAAGTTGGGTTTATGGAGCTGGGAGTATTCTTCGTGGAGAGAAACCGGCTGGAAGGGCTCATTCCACCAGCTTTTGCAAACTGCTCGTCTGTCGAGCTCTTGGCGCTCGGGGAGAATTCTCTGGGCGGGAGGATACCAGATGAGCTTGGACGGCTCGAAAACTTGGTGGCGCTCTCGCTGTAGAGCTTGCAGTGGCTGGAGGGGCCAATTCCTCCTGAGATCGGCAACAACAGCAAGCTCGAGTGGTTTGATATCGGCGGAAACTCGCTCATGCATGACTCGATCCCAGTGTCGCTGCTTCAGCTCCCGCGCTTCCTTGCAACTCTGGTTTCAACAACACCTCGGACCGTCCGGTCCCGGAGCAGCTCTGGAACATGACTCAGCTCGAGTTTCTGGGAATGGGGAGGACAAACAGCCGAGGGATCCTGTCACCAATCGTTGGAAACTTGACAAGGCTTCGGTCGCTGAGAACCGCTTTGAAGGAAGTGTTCCGGACGAGCTGTCCAAGTGTCCCGACGCTGGTCCTCTCCAACAACAGACTCCTTGGAGGCGTTCCTCAAACGTTTGGCACGCTTGAGTGTCTCAGAGTTTTGATGCTCGGTGAAAACCAGCTCTCCGGAGCAATACCAGAGAACTGCACCAACCTGGAAGAGCTGGTCCTCGAGAGGAACTTCTTCCGTGGAGCAATACTAGAGTCCATCGCCAGGATGGCAAAGCTTCGGGGTTTGCTCCAGTCTTCAACCGGATGAACGGGACGATACCGTGCTGTGCAATTTACACCTCAGCGTATATTCGGAGCATATATTTAAAATATGCAGTGAAGGGTTTAAACATATACATTAAACATAAAATGTTGCTCATTTTGCATGATTAGAGTCTATACTAAAACCTTTCTGGAAGTCCCTTATTCAAAGGAACATCTTAGTCCTCATTGTTATTTTGAAGGACACACTTTTATTGCACTTAAAAAAACGTTTTTAGGGTTTTCCAAAAAATTAGTACCATTTTGAATTTAAATCATTTTTGAATCATTGATCAAAATTGGGGTTGAGCCAATATTGTTTTTTTAAAATTTTAGTTCTTTTTGGTTTGTTAAGCAAACCTATATGATAGTAGATATATTTAGTATATGTTTGGATATTCTAGGATATTTTATCATTTAAAAATTGTTATTGATTTAGATTAATATTATATTTATAATTTATAAACATATTTGTAATTTATAAACTTTCAAAAACATTTTCTAGTATCTAATAGTTGATATTCAATAAGATTAATCTTGTGTTCATATAAACATATTTATAATTATAAAATCTTCTATTTAATTAATCAGATTATTAAATAAAAATAACACTAGCAAACTAGGCATTGCTACATGCAATGTGCAATAAATTATTATTCTTATTTGTGATAATTTGATATTGTGAGATCCAAGTGTATGGCTACAATGTTGTATTTTAATATTAGCATAATGAGATTTTGGTAGCCATCGGATTGGTTTCAATTTAGACCACTCGCTCCTATATATAAACTAAATTTTTGGGCTAATTAATATGCATATTTTTGTATTCCCTTTCTATATTCCATGCACTCATATTGGTAGAGATGAAAGGCACTTTTGATTGTTCCTGAAGAGTGCTTGAATTTGGGATTTTCATTTAAATTTAGTTTTTGCATTATCTATTAGATTTAACTTTTTCCATTTCCTTTCTTCTGTTCTTTCCTTTTGGGATTTTGGTTTAGATCTAACTTTTATATTGTCTAGATCTCCCTTTCCTTCTAACTTTTTTAATTTCTTTTATTTTGCTTTTTCCTTTTCATTCATCTTCATGGCAAAGCAATAGTGTCTTCTTCCTTTGACTCTAGAGTAGTAGTTGGTGCAATTGTTTGATGCTATGCGATTGCAATTGAACAACCAAACTCAATTGATAGTGGCATTTATGACATATGGTATAACTCCTCCTTTTTGGTGCCAATCCTCGTATTCGGCCGGAGTTCTTTCGTGGGAATCCTAGGGATGATGTGTACCATTGGTTTGATCACTTCACAGTGATTGCCACATATCATTTTTTGGATGATACTTGACATTTGCATGAATTTCCCACATGTCTCCAAGGGATGGCACTATAGTGGTACAATGGTTTGAACACAACCACTTATGGGGATTGGAGTATTCTCTCAAAGGTGTTCAAACGTGCATTTAGACATGCCGACAATTATGATGATGCTTGATAACAATTGCGTCGTCTTTGTCAAGGACCATTTGAGTTAGTGATGTAATTTGGCATTCATTTATGAAGCCTCTTGCTTCATGCAGAGTGAAATATGTTAGAGCGGATCAAGCTGGGAATGTTGTGGCTAACACTTCATCAAGATCTTGTAAGACTTGTGCATGCACTTATTTTAGCCACCTTGACAATGCCCTTTGTTTGGCATAACATTATAAAACGTTGCCTCTTCCACTTCTCACTACATATTCTTTAGCTCCACTTCCTATGGGAGATGGTCTTATTCCAATAGAGGTTGATGCTACTGCTACTCGAGTTCAAGGACACGGGCAAGGACATGGTTATGGCCGTAATATTCATTGCTAAGCATGTGATGAAGTTGGTAATACTTATTAGCATTGTCAACATTTTCCAAATTGGCGGCCTTCATTTCTCAGGTGAAGACTTTGGCGTCAACAACGTCCTATTGGTGTTGCTACAATAGAAGGTTTAGACACTAAGATGTGTCTGGGAAACAAAAAGTCACATGAGTAACAGAGGGACCTTACACAAATAAATCAGTAACCCCTCCATCTTTCTTTTGGGAGTATCATCACTTGGCACCAGTTCATCTAATGTTTACTTTCCAAGTTCGTTTTTATAATATTATTCTCTCTATGTTAGTTAATACAGGTTCGAGTTTATCTTCTATTGCTTGACTTATTGCCACATGTTGCCATCTATATCTGCATCGTGCGGCAGAGTTAGTTTTCATTCTTTATGGCAATGGCTATACACATGTATGTGCATGGGATAAGGCAAACTTAGTTATGCGTGTGGGTGATCTTGAGCTTGAGTTGTAGTCATTGCAAATAGTGCCAAGTCAAGCTTTTGACCTCATCCTTGGTATGGATTGCTTGTAGTGCAATCATGCCAAATGTGACTTTGAGGCTTCTCCCCCTTGTCTCATATTTTTTTATATTTCATCCATTCCTCTCATTTTTGTACTTCTTTGTTCCTCTGTTTCTACCTTTGCTTCCATTACTTTTATCTTCCCATTATTGTAAGTGACAAATTTTTTTCATTCTACTTTAGTCACTTAACCACACCTCCGACTACTTGGAAGAGTCTCATTCACAACCTTCATAAGTTTAATTCAGGACTTGGGGCTTGCTAGCCCCAAGAATGGCATCCATGCCACTCAACTTTTGCACTTGGTCCAAGTGCTCCACGTGTCTGATCTCATGACTGACACCCCAAGGTACCATTGACATATTAGCCTGTTATGCTAAGGCCATGCTTATTCACCTTGGTCACATCGGTGGTCCAACACCACTTATATCACAATTTCATCTCTCAAAGACTGGGCTATTCATCCATGAGTGATCATCCTATATCCACTCCTTAGCATCCTCAGGATGCTTACAGACATAGGGAACAACCTTCCCTAATATCCCTTTCAGCACCCTTTTGGTTTCACTTTGGGGCTTAAGGATTTGTGTCTCACAACTCCACCACCCATAAACGAAGTTTGATGTCCTCATCGAACAATAAATTATTTTAAAAGTAATACTAACATGTATTACCCTTTCCATCCTTAGCACCTAACCAATATTCGTTAATGATTTGACACCGAAAGCTCACCATACCTTGTCCATCCTTTACGGAGTATAATTTCTCTAACCTAGAAACTCATTTGACCATTTGTGGTGGTTCTCTCTTTTTATTGATTTAGTTTTCACTAAATCTGTTAGAGACACCTTTTCTATCTCAATCCCACTACTCATTCTCGAGTAGTCTCAATTCCCATTGATATAACCTTTGCACTTTGGAATTTTTAATTTTGACTTCTCGAAGTTAATTTCTTGGGTGTCTCCAACACCTTATATTGCACATTTTGTGCAACTCCACTTCCCCATCCTAGGAAGTTCTCTACTCATCATCATCATCCTCTTTTCTATTTTGTGCCACCTTTGGCACCTTCACCAAATCGAAGCAATTGGGAATCTATCATTGGAAACACATTGTCTTCCCACAATCCATTAGTATCCAACACATTAGTGTTCTTGGCTTAACTTTACCATTTGGGTTCTATCCTATGATTCTTATGCCTCTTTTCTTAGCCATTAGTCTTTTATTCCTATCCATTAATTGTTGCACCAAGTAACATAGGATCACTACCTTTATCTCTAAGGTATTTTTTCGGTTCCATGGCAAAAGCTTCACTTGCCAAGTCTAAAGGGTGTTCACCCTAGTAGATCTCTTTAGCATTTTCTGCTATACGCCTCATCCACGGCCCAACTTTGTGACCCGCCCATGAGTATTTCCTAGAGACTACTTTCTTTGGACTCATTATGCCATTGTATTGACATCAGTGTGTAACAAAGTATTTTTAGTGTACTAGAAAAAATCCTTGAATACTTAAAATGAATAGGATATATTTTTTTTGTACCGGCATAATCCTTAAAAGAGGAAATCTCATTCGGATAAATTCCTTAATATATGAAAACTATAAGGAAGTTAAACATCTACAAATCGTCACTTTAGCTTGTATAAATATGCCTATAAGCTGCGCCTTCCTTCCATGCTTGCACCATTATTTCGAAATCAAACTCAGCTATTGGCAGACCCTCAATGGAGATCCTCACAAGCTCGTCAACCATCTCCGTCCCCATCTGGTTTCGAAACTTATTCTTCACCAAGTTGATTCTACTAAACCCACGCTCATATGATGCAGTGTTGCAGCATTGAACCATGCCGACCATTGCCAACTTCAGCAAGTTGGGATACTTCTTCGTCCAGATACTGTGAGCATAAATCATTCCCCAAACATCCACGAAAGTTTTCCCCTTCCACTCCTCGGAAGCTATTATCTTCCATAAACTGTACTCTTCAGCCAGCTCTGCTTCATTGATCATCCCTGTGTAGAACTTTCCAAGTTCCTGAACCTCAAACTTACCAAAAGCTTTCAACTCACGCACTGATGAAGGTAAGTTGATAGGAGCTAAAAAGTGGAACTTGGAGAGAATACCAGTCGCCTCAGAGTCCTGTAACCTGGTCCTTATACCCTCCAAAAGACTAGTGCCAAAGTTTTTTTGAAACTCTAGTACCTCCTCCAAATCTTCTCCATGAATCGACCTGATCATTTCCACGTCTCTGTATTCGTTTCCCTTAACTGATGACCTGAGCTCATCCAAAGGACCATTGCGGCGTCCACCATCTGGGATTATAGGATATCCTCTGCTATCCAACTGAAAACCATTCAAATCCACTTGCTTATCCAAATAGTATACCTGTATCTTGGCCATAGTTGCCTTGCATAAAGGTGCAACACTAGTCACGTCCATAGTCTGTGCTTGAAACTCCAGGTTCAGCTGATTTACCACTGCCAAGATATCTCCTAGAAAGTGGAGTGCATAAAGGAACTTGAAACTCCTGAGACGGTCATACAGCTTCCTTGTTTGAGTTGTTCTCCCGTCCTTAAAAAACTTGAGTAGTGGTTCCAAACACTCACACATCCTGGTAATGGCTCCACCCCTGCTCAACCAACGTGTCTGCTGGATCCGCAACACCTTCAGCACCTTGAAGTCTAGCTCGTCCTGTAGTGCCTGTAGCTGCTGCAACCTGCTAGAACTCCTTGAGAAAAAACTGGCTACCTTGTTCACCACCTGATCCACTTCATCGCAAAGATTATGAACTACTGGATTCTTGTAGACGTCCTCCACACATAAGTTAGCTCTGTGTGAAAGACAATGTGTGGAGGTCATGAATGGATTGACCTCCTTCAACCTTGCTGCAACCCTTGTCCTGTTTCCTGTCATAACATTGCAGCCATCTGAACCAAACCCCACGAACCTGCTCATATCCAGCCCCCAATCCTGCAAAAAATCACCTCTACAGAACTATTGTTCAACATTGACAAGCCTAAATAGCTTGTCAACACCCTTGCGTCGTGGATGTAGGTCACGTAAAAGATGAGGTGTTTACTGGTACTGCATTAACAAATTTAGAACCAAGAATATCACTAATCAGCTTTACCTTATATCCGTGCTCTCATCTAGCATTATTCCAAAGAATGGGCTAGCTTTAACTTTCTCCAAAATTTGATTTAAGAGCACCTACACAACAAAATTCAGTCAAGGTTTATTATCAAACTTTAGCTCACCTTGTTGATGAAAGTGATGAAGTGTGAGCAGGCCATCACGTTCTTGTACATGCTAGGAACATAAACTCCGTTCAACTGTTGTAGCTCCAGAAGCAATGGGTATTTGCGAAGAGGAACAAAACCTTGTGCAATAGCATAAGCAATCCTAAACAAGCAAATAACTCCCTTCTCTGCTGCCTCTTGTTGCCGATCATTTGCAGCTGCCATGGAGGATTAACTGCCAGCTTTCACCTCAGCTATGTAAATGGAATGCTTGTGATCTTTTGTTTGCCCATGAGCATGGAAACTTGAAGTCTTCATGTTGGTGGAACCTGATGTACCAAATGGATTCTTGTAATTCTTGTTGGAACGGCATATTGAGCAGAAGATCAGTGCTGTAATGCAAGTAGGATTAGATGAAAAATCAAGAAAATTATTACTATTTTTCTGATCAAAATGCAACCACTGCCATTTTATAACCCATGCAGGTTGCCACTTCCCCCTACGAATTTTCTTCTCCTTCTCCTCTACTGATGCAGCATCACCTTCTCCCACTTCACATCCCTCCTCAGGCTCAGTCCCCTCCAGGTTGTCCTCATCTACAAAACCTCCTCTCTCCACAATGGGGGCAAAACTTAACAAAGATTGCTTTGATTGAGCAATGGCTTTTGCAGCAGCCTTGCTCCTACCTGCAGGCACCCTCCCCATTTCCCAGATGATCTCCCCACCAAAATCTATGTTCACGCCCACGCCCACGCCCACGTGAACATTGTGAAAGAATATTCTAACCTTAGATTAATGACATGGTTTACTTAGTGTAACTATGTTTAGTTAGTGTTAACTAAGATTGATGATTATTTATTTAATCTTGTTAATTAGAATCAATTAAACATAATTAACCATAATCCTCAAAAGGTAGGTGAATGTACCGGCAGGATTCCTTATAACATCCAAACGTACCGGATCTAGCCTTTTACGAGATTTTTTGCACCGGTCGTATATCCTTGTAACTTTGTTTTGTACCGGCAATTCTGAAATGGTACCGGCGGGGTACAAAGGAGCCTCGGACTTTGTTACACACTGCTCATGACTGTCCCATTGATTTACAAGAAGGAGCATCACCTCCGTGGGGGCATATTTACGGGTTATCCCCATCCAAGCTTAAGGCCCTCAAAGAGTATGTGGATGAGAACCTTGCCTCGGGGTACATTCAACATTCGTAGTCCCCGGCTGGAGCACTTGTTTTCTTTGTCAAGAAGAAGGATGGGAGTTTGCGGCTAGTCATCAACTACCAAGGTTTGAACAAGGTGACTGTTCGGAACCGTTATCTGTTGCCCTTGATCTCAGACCTGTTGGAACACCTCAGCGGTGCCCACTTCTTCACCAAGATCGACCTCTGTGGAGCATACAACTTGATCTGATTTGGCCTAGCGATGAATGGAAGACTGCATTCCGAACCCGCTATGGCCACTTCGAGTACACTGTCATGCCATTTGGCTTGACAAATGCTCCAGCAATTTTTCAACACATGGCGAACAACGTTTTTCAGGAGTTTTTTGATTAGATGGTGATCGTCTACCTTGATGACATCCTCATCTACTCAAAAACTCAAGAGGAGCATGACGAGCATGTGCGCAAAGTGCTGGTGAAGCTGCAGGAACATGGCCTATATGCGAAGCTTGAAAAATGTTCCTTCGATCAGGAGTTTGTGGAGTTTCTTGGGTACATTGTCACTCCTAAGGGTATCATGATGGATCTTGCCAAAGTTAAGACTATTCTCAAATGAGAGCCTCCACAATCAATGTCGGACATTCAGGTTTTCCTTGGCTTCGCCAATTTCTACCCTAAATTCATTGATCACTACTCTGATATTGTCCTTCCTTTCACACATCTCACTCGCAAGGATGTTCCCTTTTTTTGGTCTGCTGCTACCCAACAGGCCTTCAACACACTCAAGGCAACCTTCAGTTCTACTCCCGTCTTGATCCATGCTGATCCCTCACAACCTTTCTTCATCGAGGCTGATGCCTCCGGCTTTGCCATCGGTGCTGTGCTGTCTCAACTCGGAGCGGATAAGGAATTTCATCCGGTCGCTTTCCATTCTCGAAAATTCCAACCTGCGGAGATCAATTACAAAATCCATGACAAGAAGCTCCTTGCCATCGTGGATTCTTTTGGAGAGTGGTGTCGTTTCTTGGAGGGGGCAAGGTATCAAACAATGGTTTGGACGGATGACAAGAATCTCTAGTACTTTGCCTCTCATTTGATATGTCTATGATCATGTATGGACTCCTCTATGCTTGGCCACATGGGCCACCCTTTTTGAAGTTAGCATCTTCAATTAGGGTATTTGTTCCCCCGATTTGTTAATCTCACCTAGCAAGTCATCTGACCACCGTAACATGGTTCATGCACAAGTGTGAAAATCCTTAACCATCAACTTTCGTTCAAAGCCCTTTCTTTGAACACTCAGGAACCACTTCTCTAACTTTGATAGCCTCGCTTCATAGCAAATTTTAAGACCACGTTTTTGCTATGCCACTCTGATTTCATACGCTTTATAAACCATTTACACTTGGCTTTCTAGGTACTTATTTACCTAAAATTGTCTTTGGGAATCTTCAAGGAACTCTATTCCTTAACTTGCTAAGGCCTCTCCTTTTTGCAAACTTTCTAATTATAATATGGATAATTCCATATTTAAACTTTTTATGGCATCATGGTTACTAATAACAAACTACTCGAGCCCCCACTTGATTCTTCACTCCCAACTTGCATAACCACCCTTGGTTATGCCTTTTTATTCCTATGGTTTGGTTCTATCTTTTTACTATTTGCTTTTTGGCCTCATATGTTTCTTTCGGTCATTCTCCTCTAGACTAGGAGGATAGTTTTGCACTTTCTACCATGCTTTAGCAAGTATTCATAAGGATGAACCTACCCGATAGCCTAGGGAGTGGTTCCTCAATTCGGGTATGGTCACCTTGTAATCCCACACATCAGGATTAATGTTGCTACTTATGGGCCTTTATATGCCCATGACTAACCTTGCCAAAATCCCGTTTTGGCTTTGTCCAATTCAGGTAAATAGACTTCTTTTGTTTCTGCAACTTTGGACGTTTGGATAGTATTTTTTATCCATCATTTGCTAAGGACTTAATCCCTTAGACCTTATTTAATACCCTCACGACACCAAACACCACTTCCTAGTGTTTTAGAGTGTTTAATGATAGCTTTCTTTAGCAATGAGCATTCCCTTTATGACATTGATTTACTATATCGCAACATAAGCAATTTATCCCCCATAAGGATATATTTAACTTCCTTATCATAATAAGAAGTCTTAAGTAATTACCTTCTACCAGTTTAATCAATTATTTTGCACCTTTTTGCTTAGTTACCTCATAATTGTCAAGTCTTACAACTCATTTCTAGTGCTTCCACACCTCTATCATTATTTTGGGTCACCACACTCTAACCACATGCTTTCCAGCTTAGGCTATGCCATTCCCATTTCCATTAGGATTCCTTTGGGAAGGGGTTCTCATGACTTGACCTCAAAGCATTATGCCTTGGCACATTCGATGTCTCCACACCATCAACTCTATAAACCTACCTTTATAACACTTCTTACTTGTGTTTAGGTCTTTGCCAAGACTAATACAGTCGTTTTTCATGCCAACTATCTGGTAGCATTACACCATATAATTTGCACACAACTTTGTATCAAAGTTGCTTTCTTTTGGGAACCTCTTTCCCATACCTTTAGTATGGCACATTCTACCATCAATGAAATACCCATTGTTCTCACACTTGGATTTTATAATCCTCCCCATCTTTCATGGGGTACAACACACTTTAGTCTAAATGCTTCCACCAGTCCTTTAGGACCATTCCTTGGCTCTACTTGAGTTATCTAGCTTTTTAGACTTCACTAATTTGACGACGTATAAGGTCCCATTTTTGAGGTGTTAGCTTGTTAAAATACAATTTTTTGTATTCATGTTTTACCTATAAAAACCATTTTTGCAAGTGTTACTCCGACACTTAATTACTCTTTGTTCCATATGGGCTACCTTTGCCCCTTAGGACTATTTATTCATGTGATGAGAATACCAACTCATTCTCTAAGTACACCCTCAATCCCTTGGGTTGTTCTAGCATTTATTAAAGGTAGCCCCAGCTACCATTTCAAGGACTTGTGTCCTCTTTCGTATTTGACCTCCCACGATCATTAATTCTGGTCTCAAATTCATGAGCACCAACCTCAACTATATGAGGATAATCTTATGACTCCTTTATTATTTTGGAGTCTCTATTTTTCCCGTGATCCCAACTATAGTTATTTATGACAACTATATTAATCAGTTTGCTGAGTCAAACACTCATCTAGATCACATCATCAACTCTCTAAGGAAAATCTTATACTGTTCCCAAGATCCCAAAGTCGTTCCCTTATTAGTCATTTTCTATCCACCACATTGCTTACAAGTTCACACATAAATTGTAGTGGAAAACCATGTCCTCCCGACCTACTACCCCTTAAGGATAGGCCCACTCCTCGGACCTTCCAATGCCAATACAAGTGGTGATATACTTAAGCACCAATAAAAGTCGGACTAAGGAACAGCTTCTATACCAAATTGTAAATGACTAATTTTTTCATTCTACTTTAATCACTTAACCACACTTCCAACTATTTGAAAGAGTCTTATTCACAACCTCCATAAGTTCAATTCATGACTTGGGGTTTGCTAACCCCAAGAATGGCATCCATGCCACTCAACCTTTGCACTTGGTTCAAGTGCTCCACATGTCTGATCCCATGACCGACACCCCAAGGTGGTCACATCGGTGGTCTAACACCATCTACATCAAAGCTCTATTTCGTTAAAGTGGGAATTGTCATTATCCCACTTGTAAAATAAGGTTTCCAAACCTTTATATAGTATATAAATATAACAAAATTCAACTGCATTGAGGCACATGCCATTTTATTTTAAACAAGGAAATGTCTACTCAATCACTTCTCCTCCCCCTGCCACTGCTTCAATTTCTTTCCATCCTTTTAATATTGGCTCAGTTGCTCCGAGTCTAGGTGGAGCCCAAGTCCCCATTCAATCTTTACTTTCCCTTTATTAATAAAACAACTTCGTAGACTTCCAATAACATGCTGTAACACTTCTAGTATAATGCAAATCCTCTCAAAGAATTGTCTTTTAATATTA